TTGAATCCCCTGGATTGAATCAATATTCCAGGTACTGGATTGAATCAATATTTTAGATATTGGATTGAATCAATATTCCAGGTATTGGATTGAATCATGAAAATTAAAAGATTGAATTGAACCAAAAATTTTATTTACCATTGGATTGAATGCCTTTTTCTATCTTTAAATAAAACCATTATGTAAAGGATTAAACATATATTGCAAGGATTAAATTTTGCTACAAACGGCTTGCCATAATTAAGCAAATGACCAGTTGGAAACTATTCATTGAAAATGTCCCAAGCACTGAAGCATGTCTGAACAGACATTGAGCAAAATCCACTTGTGGAATAGATTTGGCATATCCAAACTTGTCAAAACATCCATTGATTGCAACTTACAATGAAAGAAGATCACTGTGTCGAGTTAAGAGTGGTTAATCACTATAAAAAGCCTTTTTTAAAAAAATTACTTTTTAGGTAATGGACAAAGGAGAATTAAAATATTTGAGATAGCATATCATCACATTCATAACAATAACAGATTTGCATAATGATGCATACAAGACTCTTTCAATTTTTATTTTTCTCATGCTAATTAGGGTAGTCGTTAGTTACCCTGCCAAGAACTTCAACATTTGAAAACAAAAGGAAAATACTGATGGCAGTCACATAAGGACATTGTACAAGTTTGATGGGAAGACAAACAACGCAGTTGTCAAGAGAGATCATAGCATTAACTACAGTAGGCTCAAAGACCAGCAATACAATACATGTGCCCCCTCCTTATCAACAAATACAAAAACAGATCATTTTGTCATTTTCCAATAGAGATAAAAATACTGCCTGTTCTGATATACTTTAGTACCGTGCACCATATTCAAGTCAACCGCCGGCCGATATCGGATTCCAAATAGCAGACCAATCGAATCACACAAGCACATCTGCGATTATGTAGTTGTTAATTAACTTCTGTTATGTGTACAAAATGAGTAAATAATTTCGTTCAAGTATTTCCAAAGACTTCTAATTAGCGCTAGCATAACTCCAAGAGGCAAATTGGTGGGCAGAAAACACGGATCGCAGCTGTCTAACATTGCTTGATAAAAATCAACATATTCCGACGGTCGCGTACCGTCTGCTACGCACGTCAACATTATTTTCTACTCAACAGGAAGTTTGAACGTTTATTTTGCATAAACTGTTTTAAAAGCTCAAAAAGACACTCAAACAGAATTGAACACTTAGGTTAGAGACTGCATTTAAAGAAAGCAACTTAACGACTAAAAACAGTGTTTGATTGTACAGAACCCATCCGACACGGAAGAAGAACTACAGATGCAGCGAAAACAAGATGACATAATGCGAAATTAGAATATTGCATTCGCAATCACATATGCAAAGCACGCTTTAAGTCGCTTTAACCAGCTCGCACGAATTTACAGCGAAATTTCAGAGCACAAACAACAGAATCAAGTCTTACCTTGGTAGCTTCTGGCTTCATATCTGGGTCTACCACCGATCGTCGTACTCGACGAAACAAGTCGTGCAGATTTTGGTCGCCGCTGGACCGAGACGGTTGTTCGCTCTCAATCTTGAGCAACTTTTTAGGAGAGCCTGGCAGTGGCGAGTCTCTCTGCACAAATAAATGTCTCTCTCTTGACACTGTTGCCACATCTTCCTGGACACTTCCACTGGCTGAGAACAGTAAAGACACTAGGACCACAAAACCTTTTAGCACATCTGTGTCCATGTTTGATGAAAAATGTCGTGTATCCTGAGACTGGTACGAACTTCAGATCACGTGATATTTTAGTCACGTGCTAGACCACGCGCGAAATCGCGCGAGCAAGGATGACTAAGCAAAACTTGTCGGTTGTTGATTAGCTTTGATCAGGAGAGCTGCTCAGCTGAAAAAGTGATAAACTTCGTCACCGACAAATTCAAAAGCTTAAAATGATATAATCTAGCGCGTTTTCGAGTGAGTGAATTTAGTTAAGTCAATATTCCACATTTCGCCGATCCACGGCGTCACCGAGGAGGCAAAATAGTCGGCTGTTCAAAGAACTAAAGGGTATCCAAAAGTGCTCGCAAAAATTAGATGCGCGTTTGCTTGCTCGTGCTCACCAAATTTTTGCAAGTGCTCGCATGCTCGGATTCTCGTTAAGATGTGCTCAATAGTCCACGTTTGCTCCGAAGCTTTCAGGACAAACTTCTCTGATATCTGGTGGTGTTTTCTTTGTATCCAAGTCTCTCAAGGGAGTTGAGGGACCAATAGAAACTTGAAAAATTTGCCGTGAATTTTTGTCATGAAAGCCTGGGCGGCATGTTAGAACATCGAGTATATCAAACGTGATCTATTCCCGTATGGCAAAACTGGGAAACATTGGGGAAGTATGCACGCGCTATGAATGTTTCTGGAAAACATGCTTTCCCGGGCATTCTTCCTCGTTTAGCTGATGTTTTAATTATTGGTACTGACGCACATAAGAATTCCGTCGCGAAAGTCACCCGCAAAGATAGAAATTAATCAGTAGAACCCTGACGTAAAGAACCTCACTATTGATCACTATTACCATGCGGCCTTCAGAGCGTGTCAGAGCGGTATGGCTGCAATTTGTCAGATCCCAGAAGCCTCCAAATGAAGCTTCATTGCGTTGAATCTTTTTCAGTCAATCAGACGGAAACTAATTTGCCGATCATCGAAACCGACACTCGAAATGCGACTAAATGCCATGTTGATTACATTAACTCAGAATTTTGTAGCCAAAAAAACCTTCCATGTCACAACACTTCAAAGTCTCAGGGAAGCTTTTAGCTTCTTCTCGTGGTGTGTTCACAACGGTTGGGTTAGAAAGCTTTAGATCTTGTAGCTAAATCTCCTTGAACATCCACTCACGGAAGCTCACTGACTCACGTGAAGGTACATGACGAAGTGCTCGCTGCCCGCCACCTGTATTTTCCAAAAGTCCGCCGCTCGCAAGACAAATTTGATCACTGCTCGTGCTCGCAAAAATAGAAGCACTGCTCGCATGCTGTCAAATGCTCGTAAAGACCACAAGGTAGGCATTGAAGTGTGAAGTAACAAACAATGCTGATAACTTGAAAAAAAAAACTTTCAGGTATTGCGAGATAATTATACATATATACAGGGTACCTGTGGACTAACATTAGCTAACATCGGTCAAACATATTAGCTCAGATAAGCCACAAACTATTAAAACCATCTTCGTTCCTAACTTGTTCCTTATTTGCTCTTTCAGCACAAAAGGTTAATGTCTCTCGGTTTTCCATAATTATCGGCAGATTACTGCGGCTAAATCAATTAATTTTGTTTCCATTTTAAGGGTGGAATAGGAGAAATTACATAACCGCAAAGCATAGATAAACAAACCCATGACCATGACCATTCGAACCCATGACCTTTGCGATATGCCATACAGCCAAGCTGTGACCAGCTATCATGGGCTATCAAGCCAACTGACAGCTGGTCACGTTAATGTTGTGAGTTCGCACCCGTCTATGGTGAATTACTGCAAGGGAATATATGATTTATTTGAACTGCGGAGAAAGATGTCTAAAGACTTGAATAAGTGCATCTCAGCGATCGTTGCAAGGACGACAACTACGATCGTTGCCCGAGGGGAGTGGGGGGGNCTATTTGACCCTGAGATATTTCACTTTTAAAAACCGAAATGATAGCAAAACCCCCATTTTAACTTTGACAGCTAAAAATAGCGGTGTTTCGTCCAGAATACCCTAGAAATCCTCGCTTTACACCCCTAAGCGAGACCACGAGCATCTACGACCATTTCTTATGGAACTTTCCCCGGGGTATCGCTAACGAGTATTTTTCTTTTTTTTTTCTTTTTTTTCTTTTTCATACAGATCTGAATGTTAACGGTCCTTGAACTTTATTTTTCAGCAATCCTATACTAGCAATCCGGCAGCAATCCAATCAAAACCCATTTTTAAGCTTTAGAACGAATGAATAACGCAAATCCTAGAGAAATTTGAGAAAATTAAAGGAGCTCAGTCACGCTTTGCACATATTGAAAAGTTTAGCCTCAGTTTTTCAAATTCGTCGTTTATAATCCGTGTCAATCTTCTCCATCCTTAGCCATCCTTGTTCCTTTATGGTTTATCATTATCCCTTTGGTGTTTTTCTATGTTACTGAACTGTTATTTTCAGGTTTCCTACTATTTAAAGGTAATTTTGTATGTGGCCAAAATAACTCAAAATACCGTGACAGAGCTCCTTTTAAGCCTGATTATTCTTGTCTTTTGGCCGGAGACATTGTGTTGTGTTCTTGAGCAGGACACTTTACTCTCACAGTGCCTGTCTCCATCCAGGTGAATTTAATGATGGAGGTAGCGCTATCGTGATGGACTAGCATCCCATGTAACCAGTAGAAATACTCCTAATCGATTCATTCCGGGAAGAAACCGGAGATGCGCGGCTGTAGTGATGGGCCACTTGGCTCGTACGCAGACTTGACTTACCAACTGGTTATAGAAACCGAAATGTTACAATAACGAAGAAACACGGGAGAGCCAAAAAGAGGCAAGATGGGGGAAATTGGGGAAAATTAAAACGGATTGCTTTAGGTTAAACTCGAAACACATCGGCCGGACTTTTTTTCAAGTTTAGGTAGCTTGTATAAAAGTGTTATTCATGCTGCTCGTAAAACATCCTTCTTTCTTGTGGCCGAGATTTTAGTTGCTAATAAATGACTGCTGCTCGGCCAATTTAGAGTTTAGTACTCATATATAAGAAAAAGAAGAATCGTGCTAAAAAAGACACTGATCTAGAGCTTTCCAAAACAAAGCCAGAAAAATTAGGCTCAATTCATTCAGCACCTTTATTAGTTAAAATTAATTAATTACTTCTTTTCCACATAAAATAGTTGAAATTCCACTGTTAGAAATAATTGAAAAAGGTTACTTGATCAGAAAGGGTAGTTTGTTCAATTAAATTTAGTTTCTGAGAAAAGTTTATTACGCACGCTTCCTTTTCACGGGGTACTTCGACACCCCTGCGCCTTTCAAGTTTCCACCCCGCACATTCCCTTGCAATATGAGAGCCTGAACTTCTTCGATGGTCAGTGGTTTAGCATCGTTAGAATACCAGTGATCGCCTTCCTCTTCGATCGGTGGAGGCACGATGGAAATGTTGTCGTACGCAGGGTGGGGCCCAGCTCCCTGCAGGCCATCTATAGGTGTTTCTCCGGCCTCGCCCATGGACAACTTCACTTTCTGTAGCGCTTTGATCTGTAAGAGCTGGTTGCATTTCTGTTCAATAATTCCGAGATATTGCATTATGTTATTGTCGTCGACGGTCACTCCACCTCCGAGGAGTTCTGTAATGGATGCGCGGTCGCACTTGGTCGAGTTAAAAACGGCTTCGATCTTTGGCTTCAACAGCTCCAGCTGTCTTCTGCTCATCTTGTATTCCTTTTTCACGATTGTTAACTCGTCTGTGGCAGCGCTCATTTTCGCTTCCAGTTCTGTGAGAATTACTTTTCTGCGCACATCGTTCTCGACGCCTTCTCTCTTGATCATCTCGATCTCATCCTTCAAGTATCGAATTTCATCTTGCAAGGTTTCGATTTCCGTATTTGAGTTGTTCACGTAGTTAAACAGCGCGAAGTTTTGATCTTCATTCTCAATAAACGACTCCACCAAGGTGTCCGTGTCGTCGATGCCAGTAGCTTCTTTGATCTTATCGAAGATGTCTTCAAACTTGCTCGCCTCTTGACGCAGCCCAGTCAGTTGAGTTTCGAGCTTCTTAACTGTGCGAGCTGTCAATTCTTCTTCCAGAACTGACACACGATCTTCGGCTTTCGCCGTCATGAATTCGCGAAGTTTCCGATCATGCTCGAGGACGCGCTTGACGTCTTTTATGTCTGCGTTATACATGGCTAGATCTCTTTCCGCGCGCTCGCGCAGTGACGCCATCCTGTGCTGCGCTTCGTCCCTAGCATTGAAATGCGCCGTCGCCATTTCCGAGATTCGATCGATTTCCTTCTTTCCCTCGGAGAGTTCAATCTGCAAACGCCTGTATAGGTCCAGAAACCTTGCTTTATGCCCTTCGATGTGATTGATGTGTTCTCGGAGGTTCAAATTGTCGGTCAGGGCAATGCTAAATTTCTTAGTCATCTTGTCCAACCTGTTCTCCAAAACTCGAGTTAGCTTCATGTTCGCGACGTGTTTCTGATGATAAACATCCTTGCTACCTCCCATTTTCTTACACTGTTGGTTGATCGTCTCACTCATGGCGGCGACTTCGTCTTCAACGCGCGCGACAGCCTCTTTCTCTTCTTTGATTTCTTCCTGAACCTGTACTTCGCGATCAAGAAGATCCGCAATCTTTTTCACGTTTCCTTGATCAAGCAATTCGTTCTGCCGGCTTCTCGCCACCTGAATCATTGCTTCTAGCTCTTCATTGTCCTTCACTAGGGCTTCGATGGCCATCTTTTGTTTCCTCACTGTATTTTCCGTTTGTTCGGTGTAAGTTCTTTTGTCGTTGCGCATACAGCGGTACTGCCGCTGGAGGTGACTCAATTCCATTTGCGCCTCGAGCTGTGCCTCAACTGGATCCACCTTGTCTTCATCCCTAAGGCCTGGCATTTTTCTTCGCATTAACCTCAAGCAGGAAAAAGGACGCCGGGTTAAGCAACAAATCACGCTGCAAATTACACTGCAACACTGTTAAGCAAACCCTTTTGCGAAGTAACAGTGTAGTAGTATTTGTGACGTAAACCTTCTACTGCGTACGCTAATTTCGTGCGTTACGTAGACTCGTTCGCGATCCGCGAGCGCTTCAAAGATTCTTTATTCATCTTCACTCCTTAGCGTACAAATAACTCAAAATTGTTACAAGTACAAAAAAATATCCAACAGTTTTCATACTCTACTAAACCTGTTTAACAGGTTTGTTCCAATCCTGCACGCTCAAAGCAAATCCAGTTTTATTTGGCTTTCAAGAAAGAAAGACTTGGGATAATCTTTTTTCGCTTGGTAGGAATCTTAGTGCGAAGTGTCTCTGCACGTTTTTACTCACCATTAGTATTTTGACTCGGCTTAAGATGTAGCCAAAACCGCGCCGAAGTACTGCAGGACTCGTGAAATATTTAAAGCAACACTACAGGTTAACATTGGCATATAGTTTTCATAGTCATTTTGTAAATCTACACAGATTCACAAAGCTGCCTTATTAAAGCCGTTGGCAGCTTTCATTAAGAAAAGATACGAAAATGGCGCAGTTCGTTAAACAATTCCGGGAAAATCATTGCAAATTAAGGAATATTTGCAGTGCGACGCTCTCCTCTTTTTCCTCTTGGAGCCGGCAGGATGAGCGTCAAAAATCGAGTTGGCTAAGATCATCTCATATCCAACAGGCGCGAGTGGAATAATTGTTTTATTAAAAACGCCCCCAAAATACAGAAAACTAAACTAAAATAAAAATAAAAACGCCCAAGAAATCACGCGTACGCTAACCGTATTTGTAGAGCATGGTATAATGGCTCATAACCCAGGATAGCTAAGCCAATGAAAACTCTCGAATAGACCATTTTACAGTTGTCTGCTCAGTGACCTGGCCGTTGAATGGCAGCGAGGCTGGAGTTGACCTTGTTTTGATACATGCAGGCCTCACTGCTTTTGTTGTGTAGAACAAGTTGTTCTAATGCTAACTAGGTTAATTTACGTGACAAAAGCAGAGAGGACTGTATCTTAAGGAAGGTCACCTCCAGCCTCGCCGCCATTCAAAGGCCAGGTCACCGAGCAGATAACTGTAAAAGGGTCTATTGCGTTATACAATGATCCAGTTTTTAAAAACTGCTAATATATCACGATGGCTAAGCCATTGCATTCTCCATTACAAGTCCAGGTTTTAATACTAAATGCTATGTAATCCCTAAAGGGGACTGCGGCGTGCAGGTTATGACACAACACCCGCCATTTTCTCTGATTCCAGTCAACCGAGGGGAAACGTACAAGATTTTAAGATTTAAACCTTTATTCTGGATTATGTTAGGTAAGAGACGATGATGTAGATAATTCTCTCTTGCTTATGGCTAAAGCATCAGAAGTAACAAGAAAAAAAAAAGACTTTAAAAACATCAGTTATGTTACAAGACAACGCCATCAAGAATGAAATTGTTCTTTCGTCGGAGTAAGAAAAAATCGGCAGATTAACTATCGCTCACCATCGAGGACACGGAGGAATCCGACCCTCTCCTATTGCCGTGCAACGATTTATACTGCATCATCAAAACTAGGAACGGATCGCTTCGTGCACCAGTCTTGAACTCCTCCATGGTGAGCTTGCCGTCTTTGTTCAAGTCAAACTTTTCGAAAACCCTCGCAGTGCGCTGTTCTGGCGTTTCTTTCTTCCCCAGTCGACTATCTGTGTACATCTTATACACCGACCTAATGATAGCTTCCATCTCGTACTTGGTGACATACCCGTCCCCGTCGACGTCGTAGATCTTAAAAGCCCACTCTAATTTCTCTTCTAAGTTACCCCGTGATGTGACCGACAACGAGTACAGGAACTCTTTAAAGTCAATGAAGCCGCTTTTGTCCGAGTCGAACGTGCGAAAAACGTGATTCGCAAACTCGGACGCGTCCCCCTCGAAAAAATCAGAATACATATCTTCGAAATCCGTCGTAGAGACAAATCCACTGGGACAACTTTTCATGAAACCTTTGTACCAATCTTCAATTTCTTCTTGAGTAAAACGGGTGCCCTCCATCAATTCGTCTAGTTCCTCTTTCTTCAGTTTGGTTTTCCTGTTACCCATAATGCTGTGTCATCCAGTGTCGAATCACGTGCGAACAAGTTCTTTAAATGGCGCGCAAGTCCGTTGAATCACGAGCAAGCGGCTAGTAGGGGGGCCTTTTAGAGGTGTTTAATTGTCGCCAAGTTGCCCCGATTCTACTGTAGTGGATAAGGTTTCCACTGACTGATCGCCTGAAATGAACGAGAGAATTAATTTAACAATAAGATTGTAATGCAGTTAAAAATCGCATCGACTAAATTGTTCATATACACAGGATTCCGCCAAATAGCGCTTACGTCTATCCCACAGCAACATTTAACACATATCTAACTGTCTTTTCCTGCGGCCATTTATAAGTGACAGATGATCTTGCTTCTTTGCCTACTTTAAACAACTGATTAGTACGTTAAATAAACACTGATCAGTTTGGCTAAATTAATAATTACGAGCATAAGTTTTAGTAGATGTACAAGGTTGAAAAATGCTATGTTGCCATTAAAAACAGCACGAAATCCAGGATGGCCGATTTTTTCAGAAGTGAAACCTTGTTACCAAAACCAATTCTGACTCGTTTGCACACCTTTCGTTTATCTGAAACACCCAAATATTTGCCTCAAGTTCTTATTGGTTCACTGGATTGCCTGTGTCTTGTGACTGGCCAGAGTCATTATAGTGCACTTGCGTTTGGTTTATAGATGCCCAGACCCGCTCTATCACGAAATTAACAAATCGAATGTGGTTTAGCATTGTCTGTACTCTTATCGACAACGATATGCGTCATCACAGTGGTCAAAATGTTGTGGACTCACTCGGCAGCGCCTCGTGAGTCCACAACATTTTGACCACTGTGATGACGTATCGTTTCGATAAGAGTACAGACAACGCTAAACCACATTCTATTTGTTTTTTTACCACAATATCAACGTCAAAGAAAATGTTTTTTTCAGAGCGTGACACATTGACGCGAGCAGCGTTGTCTGGACTCTTATCGACAACGACAAATTAGCCAATCAGATTGCGAGATTAGTAGCAATTGTGGTACAATATTGAATCATTCTCATTCCTCGATCGAGTCTTCGCTTTTACTGCGCAAGCTTGACGAAACAATCGACTCTCGAGAGTTCCGTTACAGGCATGATTTTGATTAGTTTTAAAATAATGGAAATGAACGTATCTGTCTAATAGGCATGGGCAATTCAACCGAAAGTCCAATATTTTGGGACCTTAAACAGAACTTTACGGGGTCGCTCATTTACCAACCGCTGGTGAAGGGAAACGTAGTCTCTAGACGAGTACGAGGTTGGAATTTGTATCATGTTCATGTGCAAATGTTTAGATCTTCAATGCATGTGTCCACTTCCGGCAAGTACGGCTATTAAAAGATATGAAGTCACGGCGGACGCAAACTATACCAGGGTGTTGGTAAAAGAAGAAGAAGAAGAAGAAGAAGAAGA